GTGTATAAATGAGTAAAAAAGAATTTCTTTTTAAAAAGGAGCCGATTGAGCACATTCTTTTTAACCTAAAATATAAGGGTCGCACATTGGCCAAACTTTTTTTCCCGAATACATGAGGCTATATAAGCGGTAGGATCGAGTTTATTTCGGTACATTTCCTAAGAATGTTTTTTTGATAAACGCAGACAAACAATCTATTACGAAATAATTGCATGATTGGATGTAGGTTAGCGTGACCGTAAGCGCTGACGACCTATTGAGAATGGATATAAGATTAACGAGAGAAGAAAATAAAATGATCTAAGTGTTATTCATGCATGAAAGCAAATAATAAAATGCAAACGATAGAGTAAATGAAAAAAATAGAAAATGAATCGAATGTATAAATAGATGCGTAAAAAGAAAATAAACATATCAATTAAAAGATTGATCATTTCGAACTGGCAGCCATGTAGTAAAACCTCTTACTCGAGAGCTAGAGGACGAGGCAGGTCTCTCCAATTCCTCGGGTATGCCTTCGACAGAATCTTGACTATATGGCTCAAACGTAGGCGTCACGGAACCGGTCTTTTGTGTTGTCATGACCCGAAACGGAGAATCAGCCAAACCATTAGAGGCCATTACGGAATTTAGAGTTCTACCAATTCCCTCAGTACAATCAGTGGCCATGATACGACCAGAGGCCACAGCATCTCTTTGCTCACGTCTAATGTCATTGGCTACGCTGAGTACAATTTCTCCAACATTTGTAGAACTCGGGCAAAGGCGTCGCCGACCCAAAATCGCCTGACGTTGCTGGTTTACGTTCTCATCTACTTCATCGATATCTGAATCACCGGAGTCGTCACGATTGTTGCGATCCCTACGCCCAGACAAGCCAGCTGTTGGACTGAGTACGCGAAAGACGGAATGCGATGATGAAGGCAAATATGGCTCTGATGAATCGTCTAGTTGATAACGACTGGAGCTAGATTTTCCCAATGCCTTTTTGGAGGAGCGCTCTAGAATAAACCAAAAATTCGATTAAGATAATTGTTTGAATGAACGTTTTAAGTAAAGGAAAAGAATACTTCAAAGGCTAGATTTACATGAGTAGAATATGCATTAAGGTTGTTTGACCCTGTTTTCGCAACTTGGTCATATTGGTAGGAAGACTTAGAGAAACGCACCTAGTCCGGAGTCCATTGTGTGCATGATAATATCCAAAGTCGGATCGTGGACGTGGCACATTCCCAAATGCTGCGACCGCATCGTCCGTGAGTCTTACCAGTCTTGACATCATACTACAACCCATCAAAGAGACAAGTGAAGGCGGACCTTCGACAAAATGTGGGCTAAACAGTTGTGGTATCTCTTATTCTGTCCTGGGCTATTCATCTCACTATCACAATTTATCTCAGTGTTTATTTAAATGTGGTGTGGTATGCCATTTTGAGCGGCTTTCATGATAACCCTCCACACTCCACGATAGCATTCTCAACCCCCTTCACCCTTATGGTAGGAATGATGATCACAGTGTGACGCAATCCTCCTTCTCTAGGTCTTATCAGAGTCTCTGTCTTGCTCCGCAGGATTCCTCCACCATCTCCCTGGTTCAAGTAGTTCAACCGAACCCTTCCACCCCATTTGTGCTGCTCGAGGCGTTATTACCCATCCCCTGCGTCTAGATAACTAATTCGAGGCTAAAGCCTCTGAGTAAGTCTCATGGTTAAGCCTTTGCTAAATTAACCACGTTTATGGTAAGACATGCCTACTGTCAGCCAACTAGCTCTAGTCTCCGCCGCTTCTGCGTGCCAACCCACAAACGTCGTGGTTCAACAATGAACCTAATCAAAGCAAGTAGTACCACAACATTTGTGAGTTGGCACACAAGGGACTAGGGCATAACAAGTCATAGACTTAGTATTAAGGAGAGAAACAGGATAGAAGCGGAGACGAGCTAGTTGGCTGACAGTAGGCATGTATTACTATAAAAGTGGTCCATATAGCAAAGGCTTGACCATGAGACTTAATTAGGTTTTAGCCTCGAATTAGTCACCCAGACGCAGGGGATGGGTAATAACGCCTCGAGCAGCACAGATGAGGTGAATGAGTTCGGATGAAATACTTGAACCAGGGAGATAGCAGACGGGTTCTGCGGGGCAAGAGGGAGACTCTGATAAGACCTAGGGAAGAGAGACTGCGTAACAATATGTCAAACTCTGATCAACATTCCCAGCACAAGGGCGAAGGGGTTGAGAACGCTAACGTGGAGTGTGGAGGGTTCTCATGAAAGCCGCTCAAAAAGGCACACTACACTAAATTTAAATAATAACGGCAAAAATTGTGACAGGGAAGGCATGATAGGAGGAAATAGGAAGTGTGAATAGGCCAGGGCAGAAGGGGAGATACCACAAATATTTAGCACACGTTTGGTCGAAGCATGGGTTTACTTGTTTCTTTGACGAGTTGTAATATGGTGCTACGAATTGAGACTCACTGACGATGCCGGCGAAACGTCAGGGAATGTACCACCTTCATGGTCCTACTCTGGAAATGATGATGCATACAATGGACTTTGGACTAGGTGCGTTTCCCCTACCAATATGACCAAGTTGCGAAAACAAGGTCAAACAATTTCAATACAGCGAAATGAGACTGCGACCACACAAAAGGCCATACCATCTTGGTCTTCCTATCTTAGAATATTCAGAGATTTGTTTTTTTTTATATTTCAGCACCTTCTAAATAGTTTGCCGAACTAAAATCAAGCGGCCAGGCCTATTGCCAAAATTGTGATTTAGATTCACTGTGAAAATTCTGCTGTTTGATTAAGTTGGGTTCTTACAGTTAGGTTTACCTATATGTTTATTACGAACCTGAGCTTCTTAGAGAGGATAAAGTTAAAATTATGACTAATGTGTCTCCTATGAAGCAAAGATGGGCGAATTTGTTTGGAAATTTTATATAGCTGGTAAAGAGAATGAAAATGACAAACGAACCAGTAAAGAATCCGGCAATCCTAATATCCCTGAATATATATAGGCTATGTAAATCCTGGTCAACTGGTTATTGGTATAAACAGGCATCCTGATCCGAGGTTAATGTTTGCGGGTAAGTCTGTCAAAATTAACTCGTTCTGGAGAATATGCACTTAATTTGGTATGGTTTATAATAATAAAGGTGTGAAAAGCTGCTTAGAAGACTGATAATGCATTTGTCGGACTAACCTTCTGACAAGTGGTAATTGGAAGCATCATCTGCATTAAGACCAAAATGAAGGCCTCCACTGACAGCGCGGAAACAGTGATCGCTGCGCTCTGCTAGGAAGTGCTTATTTTGAGAGCAAAAACCATATTCATCGACGCTTAGTGTCTGCTGTGTAGGTGAGTGAGGACTAAAGATGAGAATAATTTAATCAATTTCAGGCGAAGTCGATAATATAGAGTTTAAGTTTGTGAAATGAAAGGTATCAAAAAGGAGTAATAAATATCAAATAAAGCCCGACAGCCTACTTGTAAACAAAAGCATAATAATGTTTGGAATATTACAGGTGAAAAAAGCCTAATTTGATGACTATATTTTTTGAATATATTCTTGCTGATATGCAAGTGCCATACTTCGCATGTACAAAACCTACATATCCTCGAATTGGCTTAAAACCAAGTTGGTGTTCGAAGAAAAGGAGCAGACCCACTATTTACGCGTCTGGTAAATCTTGAAGATGAGATGCTTTATAGAATGAAAACAGCAAAAACATTAAATTTTTTCAAGTCTTTGGCGTTTGTAACTGTAATGACTAGTGCCAATTCTTCCGCAATACATTGAAAATCGTTTTACATCCCATGCGCAGTAATCTGATAACACTGACATAAGACAAATACCAGTTGTGAATATCTCTCGTTTGGATTAATTTATCATGCAGACCATTCAGATACGCCTGCAGCACAATGTCGAGTACGAGGAACTTCGGACGCAGTGACTGCTACCAGGCCTTTTTAGTTTCCTTGATGCTACTGAATTCCGCGCGCCATATTTGCACACCGCCATCTTGCATTTCCGAGTTCACGTCAACAACTTTACACTCTGCGCTCTTGCCTGTAATTAATTTTGTTCTACACAAGCTTATTCAGATTACCTTTCTTTGATGAGATTTGTTAACCATACATTGTAGCAGATAGCTGAGCGCATCTCAGAAGTTATATAACAAAAAATAAAGTTATATTTATCAAAGCTAATAAACAGATAGTTATATTCTTGACTATGATATTGTAATGTAAATATTACTTTCAGATTAAAACAGATCCACACGCAGCGGTAAAAACAGTCTTAAAATAGATGATCTTAGGGCTGAATTAAGGGACATTGAAAATGCGAGATTCCGACATGCCCTACTGGCACTCAGTTTATGTTAAAAGCTATGAGCCCTAGGAGTCAGCAATAATAATCAAAGGTAAAGAAATCCGAAAAGCAACAAAAATAAATTTGTTGGGTGAGACAAGACAGAATACAAATCTTAACCAAACAATAAAATAATAAGCCATTTATTAAGTGAGAGTACAAATCTAAACCATCTTCAAATCTACTAAGATGACTCTCGGAACAATGAATGAGAATATAAATAAAAGAACTAACCTAGAACAGAAGTCGTCACGGTACTCTAAATTGTCGAAATCACCAGCTCCTAGAAAATAATAATTGCATGAATGCATAAAATACGAAAAAAGATGGACAAATAGTAAATAAAATTTGAAGAAAGATGCCTTAATGACAAAATAAAAAAATATATATTAAATAATTAAAAATATTATCAGGAGTAAAAGAAACCCAAAAATACAGACATGCAAGACGTTAACTTAATTTTTTTAATGATTCAGGGATAGAAAGTCAATTATATGATTACCAGAAACCATGATTATAATGCCGCGAGCCTTCAGGCACATAAGTAAAGAAGAAATGCTAGACGTCAATGGATCAGAAATCCTTTTTAGGAAAAAATCAGATCAAACCATGCCAAATTATGACCAAAAGCTGTGGACTACCTACTAATTTAGAATGTACACCATGCTATTAAAAGTGCTTATCTTTTTTGTTTTACAAGCAAAGAAATGACACAATTAATTATCGAAATATGGGATCTATATGTGCCAGCTGAAATGGCGGCGCAAATCTTGTTGGAGGGATAGACTCACATATACACATTGATAATCATGAAGCT